CCGTTGTCTCAGAACCATAGCTCGGGTAGGCTGATGCTGGCGAATTCGCAACAAGACGATTGGAAAAGGAATCCCCGATTGTTTGAAAGAAACTTTAATCGAATAACAAGCGCAGTACCAAAAGCTGCGGTGGTCAGGTCATGTATTTCAAATGCAGAGAAGCGCACTGTTTTATTTGTCCTATTCAGAGCAGACTAATCTTTGACCTAGCAGGGTTTATAAAAGGTAGTAGAGAAAGTCTGGATGCTGTCGGCGTGACTCGTCTTCCAGGCTAGGGTCCACGTAATTCCGCTTGTGTTGGAAACACTGCAAGATGATTGCCGACCAATCTCAGTGGTGTTGTTGCTGTTGTCGGTTTCTATCTAGGTTGTCTGAAAGTAAGTGATGTAGGCACGTCGGAATTATTGTGGTAGGCTAGCACTAACCTCTTGCCCTCCCACTTTTCTTTATAACAAGTCTTTCAAATAGCCTAAGGCTATACGCCAGCGGAACATCAGCATTGAGCACCTATGCGATGTCGATGATGATAAAGTCAATTTAGTGAGGCATTGAACTCGAGTTCCACTGTATTTGTACATCGTCACTAGCGTATGTCCTTTGCCATGCCGGGACATGTCAAACATGCTACTACTGCTCAATTAGCGTGAAGTAAATCTCCCTTGATCGTCTTGTTCAAACAGGCGAATGTTTTCGCACTTTGAACGGTGCGATTGGTTTTCCGGGTACTTTTTGGAACAAACTGACCACTGCTCAAGACCCATAATGCTTATAGTATCTGGGCGTGTGCACATTTCAACAAATTCAAAGTCCGTTCCAAGTGTCCAGGTATTCGAATACTAGAATACGCCGTCCTTCTCAGGTTTGTCACAATCGCCTCATTCTCGGAGTATATGGTTTAATTTGACCATCTCAATGAGTGTTATCTTCAAGAAATAAACGATTTTAGTGATCAGTGAGGCTGTTATCTGCAACCGAGTAACACTGTATTCTACACACTGGGTATATCCACATCCCCCTTTGTCCAGGAAATTCCCAGTTTATGGTGTATTATGGCAACAAATTGCATGACTTTCGCCCTACTCCTTATTGCTTTCGGTTCCAAGTTGGAGGGCCAACACCGATCGATAGCCTTTGAGGGAATTGCAGAGCGAAATTTTGCAGTAGTGACGCAAATCTACCACCTGGTTGACATCGCTTTCTCACTTTAATAAAAAGTTCGGAACGCCATGACCATCCACTGTGTCTATAAGTGGACGGGAAGAACTCATTCCCTGTTGATGCAAAACCGATCCAAGTTGGCCTGACTAGGCTATACGCACCGATGATAATCTGGTGTAGAATGAAAAATATCCGGGTATTTTATGATGGATCTCGACAAAAACGAACTCATTCGAAACCGAATTTCACTTCTACGGCTGGCACATCGGTAACCATGTGCAAGACGAAGAACTAGTGATATTGGAGTGGCACTCTAACGGCTCTGCACAAACGAAGGGCGGCAACTAGTTCGCCATAGTAATATAAACCCGAGACATCACCAGGGGGAAATCAACATCCGATTCCTCCCATAAAATTGCATATTACGCCAGTCACCATAAAATGCACACAGACCACCAACCACTGGTATGCACATGGGGTACGGTTGTACGGAGCTGTGAACCTCATTCAACTTTTTAACCGAATGCCCACTGTAACCCACAAGCATAAATATCACTTACGGGTTTCGGACCGTACCTAATCCGCTCTGGCTTACAATTCAATCAACATTTCCAACTGGGATTACTGTCATAGTGCCGCTCACTTGTATTTTCCCATCAAAGCTCACCTGGCGGTAAGATGCTAAATCAATACTGTGTGAACTCAGCGGTGATCAATGCATGTAATACTGACAAACAATACTTTTTTATTTGAATAGCTTACCATCTAAGGAGAGGACAAACCTGTCTAAGAGACATAATTTGGAATCCTTGTGTTTTTGACTGACAAAGTCTGATCAGTATGGTCGTTTTCCTCTACTTCAAAGGAGTGCCACGCGTTAGGTGACTTTATCACGTTGCAACATTCTAATTGACAGGCCTTCAAAACACGTGGTTTGGATATCGACTACCACACAGGTAGTCGATTTGTCAAATTTAATTTGGAAGAAGCTTCAGAAACAAAATCTAGCGCGCTAGTTTTGGCACGTATACAAAAACTTGCAAGCAAAAACAGGTATTCTAGTTCGGTCACGGCCTACACGACAACACTGACCCCAGACAACGTGAGTCGGTCTGGAACATGCTTTTCACTTGGTGATCATTTTCCATACTCTGAACAAGTTCACTCATTTACAGATTTACGAAACGGGATAAATTCGCCCTCTAGTGACGCGGTGTCCATGGGTTTTTTGGCCTCCTGGGACTACGTTGCCATCCCCTGTTCGGCTCAAAGAAGCGTCGATAACTCATCGGGAGGAATACTAAAAATAAGTCCACGAGGAATCCAAAGATAAGTTTAAATGGGGAGTGTCCCCTACTGGGGCTTTTTCCACATGGACACTGACTGATTCTTCGATTGATGGTACGGACTTCATTCAGTCATACGGGGGTCATAGCCAACTTTTTGTGAACTGCTGGTCTCGAGTGCTATAATTAAATGTATCATTTCAAAGGTAGGCCTTACGAGGCTCTAATCTCCCAGGACATCCAAAGTCATTCGTTTGCTGAAACTTGCACAACCATTATCAAGATGCGACTTGCTATCTTTAAACAGAAAACTTTCCTACAATGCTTTTTCCGGGTTCCATAAGCCTTTTCTCCTTGTAGTTTTTTGTGAAACCGCACACGATCCCTACTCTGTTGGACGGTTGCACATTAGGGTCGAGTGCACGAAGATTTGACGTCTATTGGGTTAACATAGGAGCACTTATACACAACTGAGCCCAATCCGGACCGTTATCTGGCAAAATGAACAATACGGCCGTCACAACCCATGATACCATTGGCTCCTCCTTTAACTGAGCTTAAACAGTCGACGACGGCATGTTCAGGGCGCGCTTTGACACACCTCACAGATCGAATGAAAGGTTGGGGGCTTCGACTAGAAAAGTAAAATAAACTACATGGTCGGATTAGCGAAATACACTCGTTTGCAAACTAATTTGTTTTTTTCGAGAGACTCGTCTGGAACCCAGCTGAATCCTCCGTTCGTGATGCTTCCAGGCAACTGAATGTGCTGCACCAGACCGCCTCACCTTTCAGTCGCTACGATATTCGAGATACCGCGGTACATGTGTATTCGCAACGCACTACTCCAGAGTAGTGCATTACGAATACACATGGTCGGATGGTTTACATGGTACAGGAATGGATAACGGTCCAAGTGCAGTCTTCAGGAGAAGTATCCACAAAGGCTGAGTGTGTGTGTGGAATAACTTTTTTTCGGGGGAATTGTTATACCTAACCAGCTTTTCGAAATTTTCTTGGTACTGGATACAACGAAAATTCTTCGCACGGGGGTGCTGCTAGGTAAAGTTCGCTAAATTTTTGTAGACGAAATCCACTCCTCTCTAATGGACTCATTCTCTCTCATTGTAACTCATTCTCACCGTTGATCGGCGATTCACCCAACGGTTTTAGGCGAGAGGAAGGCCATATTTTCTAAAAAATAATCAAGTAATTGGTATTGTTCTCGTATTGTGTTAGACTCGGCACTGCCTAATACACTTACCAGGTATTCCATGGTAGGGTGACGCATCCAGCCATACTTAAGTAAAGACCGAAGATAACAGTATGAGGTTTGATGGTGGACATCTGCAAATGTCCATTGTATAACTCATTACGGTTGAGAGTACCCAGCTTTCATCTACCTTG